TTTTTGCTGAGGAAGACTGGCCCTGGGCTAACATCTGTGCCTATCTTCCTCTACTTTATATGGGACGCCGCCACAGCATGGCCTGACGAGTGGTGCATGCCCGGGATCTGAACTCCAGCCGCCAGCAGCAGAGCACGCGCACTTAACCACTACACCATGGGGCCAGCCCCCGCTAATCCTTCATTTCTTTAGATCTGTGGTTTCTTACCTGATTTTAGTCAGAGTCTTGTTTGAGAATCTCATCAAAGCTACGGACCCAGTCCTCAAGGGAATGTATACAACAGAGGTTTCAGAGATTTCAAGGTCCTTAGGTGGAAAGCCTTTGCACTAGACTTTCAAACTTGCCCCAGCATTAAACCAAATTACCACATATAATTGGACTATATTTATCTACCAACAAATAATATGTTTTCCCAGAACCACAATTTGATGTTGGATGCTTTTCTCAAATTCAGGGCCAACAAGAAATAGCATATGTTCTACCATTAGAAAACAACCTGCTGTGGTCATTTAATGGTTCATGTGTAAAGATTCACAATATATTTCTGAGATAAAGCAAAGAAAGTTTTTCCCTTGACAATCTATAACGTCTTTTTTCTTATTTTTTGGTGAGGAAGATTGGCCTTGAGCTAACATCTGTGCCAATCTTCCTCTATTTTGCATATGGGATGCCACCACAGCATGGCCTGATGAGCGGTGCATAGGTCTGCACCCACGATCCCAACCCAAGAACCCCACACTGCTGAAGCGCAGCGCACGAACTTAACATCTATGCCACCAGGCCGGCCTCTGTAATGTCTTCATTCATTAAATGAAAACTACATAATCCCCTATGTTTTCTTTTTATTGCTTTGTGTCAAGTGCAGCAGGTTCCCTTAGCCCAGATTTTCCTAACATCATTATTTCACACTGCCCTTCTCTCCCCACTAGCACTTTGCTTTTATTCTTTTACTAATGTGTTATGAATTTGTATTTTAAGATTTTTTTTTGCCTTCACAAATATTTATTACTTTCAAAATGAATAATTCTTAGAATAATGAATATGACTAACGTTCAGAATAATTTCTCTCACATTTTAAATTTTTAACTGTTCTATACTGACTTTCATTTAAAAATTTTAAACTTTAGGTATAATTTACATATAATAAAATGCCAAAAATCTTAAATGTTCAGTTCCATCAGTTTGACACTTTAAAAATTATAATTTGCTTTAAATTTTTTTTGGAAGCAAGAAGGGTACAAATGAATAAATAATTAGTTGATTCTCTCATGAGTTCATCCGTGACAGGGGGAAACTGGAAGAGGGCAAGACTAGAAATAAGAAGACAAGATAAGACATTATAACAACCATACAGATAAGAGTGACAGGATTAATCCAAAATGGTGGCAGTGAGAATAAAGGGCGACAAGATAAAACCGAGATTCTTATCAAGGCTAGAAATAACCAGTACAAAAAAGAAGAGAAAGGAAGAATGACTGAGGAGCCCACCTTACCCACTATTTGTTTATAATGAATGTTCAATAAAGGTTTATTTATTCATTCAACAAATATTATTATGAGCCTATTTTGAATCAGGCATGAAAAAGTCAGATATCTTGCTTCCTCAAAGCCACAGCTGTAGCAGAAATGTAGTTAAGAACTCAGAAGTTATCCAAATCCTTACACTCAACAGGATACTCTTTCTCAAACTGATAAAAATTAGTTACACAACTACATGATTTATAATACCATTACTGTAGTGATGAATAAAACATCTACTTTATAGGCTAGCTGATTATTTATCTGGCTTCTTGATGTAATTAAAATTTGAAAAGTGATGAGTTACATAATGAGAGTCACTAAATTTCAAATTGGTTGTACATGGTATTTCACCCCCTAAAAAATCCCTACAAGAAACAAGTTGATTTACAGACTTAACTCTCAGAAGTGTACAAATATCACATTAAAATAACAGTTTGGTCTGAGTCTATCAAATACAAAAGCACCTATTAAATATACTCCATGTCCCGAATTCATTTAACTCCCTTTGTTTTTTTTTTAATAATTTTTTAAAATTATTTATTTATTTTTTCCCCCAAAGCCCCAGTAGACAGTTGTATGTCATAGGTGCACACCCTTCTAGTTGCTGTATATGGGACGCGGCCTCAGCATGGCCGGAGAAGCCGTGCGTCGGTGCGCGCCCGGGATCCGAACCCGGGCCACCAGCAGCGGAGTGCATGCACTTAACCCCTAAGCCACGGGGCTGGCCCATCCCTTTGTAAGTAGTTACTCTATATTTTTCAAATCTTAACCTAAGGAGTTTTCAAGGTATTTAATTTCATGTTGGTTCCTTAATTAGAAGTCAAATTAAATATCTCAGAAAGTCCAGCATTCAATGATCTTCTTTCCTGTCAAAACACACAGCCCCTCTGCTATTGCTCTTCCTCAGTAGAAACAACTTTCAACAAATTTCAAGTCTACTGATATGATTCATTCATCAGCAAACATGTGAGCATCTGCTAAGGCTCAAAGTATTGTGTAAGAATTAGAAATACAAATATATACTAACATATTGATAATAACAAAAGCTTAATTCAACAAATAGTGATCTATCAATTTTTAAGCAATAATAACTCAAATATGAAAAAACTAAAAATAAACAGTAAAGTGAATAACAAGTCAAGTGAATAACAATATCAATATGTGGAAGAACATTCCAATGTAGAATTAATATATTTTAATTCTTTGAGAAAAATGCCTTCTTCAAAATGAAAGTAGAAGTAAACAAGGTCAGAGCATATAACCGCTTATATTTCATTATTTACTGACTAAAGAGGAGATTATCAATTTGAAAGTAGATTAGCAAGAAACTATAACAGAAAATTTTTCTCCCATGAGAATACAAGCTTATTAACTACTCCTTTTTTCTTTACTATTCAAAGTTTCTGCCTGTCTTCTACTACGAACACATATACTACCTCTTTTCCATATCAATGCAATACAAAGAAATTCAGCCCTTTATAAGTTTTAAGTTCATTGATTATAAGTAATACTCATACTTTTTGGTGTCACGTGATTATAAATTTCCTAGTCAAAACAATAAAAATAGATCACAATTTGGGGTGACTCATCAACAAACAACAAAAGCTGCTGAGGAGTATAGCTCAAATTAAAAAGGTGCAAAATCAGCATAAAACGTTACTACAACACATTACTTTTAAATTATCTGAGTAATTTATGAAAGAAAAATACATGGCTCTTAAATTCCCTATATTAATACCCAAAAGTTTCAGCCCAAATCGAAACAAATTAGAAAATAACAACAGTAAAATACAACTGGATCTAGCCTTTTCTGAAAAATGGTAATTTAAAATTAAAAAAAATTTATGTATCCAGAGGCTGTGATATCTTCAGTCTTTGAGACACAACATCTACATTCAACTACCCCCATCCCACACATACTTTCTTCTTTCAATTTCTTTGGGCTTTAAAAAATGAGTAAACATTAAATATAAACATATAGCAAAACCACTCATAGCTTTTAAAATGAAGACAAATCTGAACTATATTCCAATATATAGTTAATGTCATATTCAGAGGGATAAGGGGAGGGCTGGGGGAAATAAAAATAAAATTATGAACCTAAAATTTAGCCAAGTAGTATAACTTTTATTCTCCAAAATTTATTTCAATCAATTTAGGGAAAAAAAACTGGTTTAAAAAGATGCAATTTCATTCTGTGCGGAAGATTAATACCACACCAAACATAAACATTCTTAAATTTATTCTTTGGTGAAACTAGTAATTTAAAAAACAAAAGTGCTCTAAAATATCAATTCAATTTTACAGGAAACAGGAAAGAATGTCAGAAAATTATTTATCAAAAACAAGAGATCTAGGATTTGGAGCCACTCACAATCATACCAATTAAATTAAATCTGGAGGAGCAATTATGGAAAACAGAAGCCAAGAATGGCAAAACTACCATTTGTCTCTCAGTCAAATCCTTTTAATACCTAAAGGTTAAAGTCCTCTCTTTCAAAGTTATTAAATAGTTTTTTTAAATATAAAAATATATTAAGATATCAGTAACAATTTTAATTTATAAATATACACATATACATTTTTGTTCCAAAAAAAAAGGCATATCCCAAATACAAAAGCAATCAAACAAGAGAGAAACAGGCTTAATACTGATTTGTTTCCCTCTCAATTATTACTACCACAAAGAAAGAAAAAAAGAAAGGAAGGAAGGAAAAAAAAAAAGAAAAGAAACAAAACTCCCTAAGGGGTGGCCAGCATCCTAGAAGGCTTTTCAGCATAAAGAGTTAATGGGCTGACGGCTCTGCTGAACAGTCAGTGACCATTTGCAAGCCTCCTAAGTATACTCCCAGCAGACACATTATCAGATTAAAGAACTGAAAACAGACTGGGCTGAAACCTTTCTTTGTCCAAGCCCAGCCTCTTCTTCCTGTGATGTCATATTATAAACGTAGCAAGCCTTTCTTTTTTACTTCAGAGAAAGCCCATCTCACAATACAGCTGGCAACGGAGGAAAAGGCCTCGGAGGAAAAGGCCTCGATTCAGCAAGAGCTAACACTAGTAGGAATTTATTTTGGAACCTTTGAAAGACTCTTCTGCTTAACACCATCTGGGATCCACTGCAGAAATACCAAAAAGGAAAACTGCATTTAAAAGGAGCAAGAAGTAAATGAAACCAAATTGGGAATGTTTAAGTCTGTGAAACTGCATTAAGAGCAGAATAAGATTGTTAACTGTGGCTTAAACATTCTGGAGCATAAAGAAACTTTAATTTTGGAATATCCATCTTGACTACTGAAATACAAGTTCACCAGACGAGAAGTTTTATTCTGTCTTGGAACACAGCGTTACTTTAAAAATTACAATCCAATGCGTTGGCTTCAGTGACTGCACTTCTTAAAGGTTGCTCGTCAGTTAACTAAACCCTGGATTCACGGATTTTCTGTAGACTAGAAAACGAGAATATTTTGCTTTTGAAGAAGCAAGTGGAAACTTTACAGCAACAAATTTCATGTTTCTTTTGGAGATTTCAGGGAAAAAGGAAATATTTATAAAACTTCCCAAAGATCCAAAGAATTTGCAAATACGTTGGAGGTTATAAAGTGGTCACAATCTGAATACCAAAGGAGATTGCAGCTGACCAAAGGACTTCCACACTGTAAACTGGACGTGCCTTTATAATGGTAAGCAGTAACAGCTCCAGCTGTGACTATGATGACTCCTTTAAGTACACTTTGTACGGCTGCATGTTTAGTATGGTGTTTGTGCTTGGGTTGATATCCAACTGTGTTGCCATATATATTTTCATCTGCACCCTCAAAGTGCGAAATGAAACTACAACGTACATGATTAACTTGGCAATGTCAGACTTGCTTTTCGTTTTTACTTTACCCTTCAGGATTTTTTACTTTGCAACACGGAATTGGCCATTTGGAGATTTACTTTGTAAAATTTCGGTGATGTTGTTTTATACCAACATGTATGGAAGCATTCTGTTCTTAACCTGTATTAGTGTAGATCGATTTCTGGCAATTCTCTACCCATTTAAGTCAAAGACTCTAAGAACCAAACGAAATGCAAAAATCGTTTGCACTGCTGTATGGTTAACTGTGATGGGAGGAAGCGCACCAGCAGTTTTTTTTCAGTCTACCCACTCTCAGGGTAACAATACCTCAGAGGCCTGCTTCGAAAATTTTCCAGAAGCCACATGGAAAACATATCTCTCAAGGATTGTAATTTTCATTGAAATAGTGGGATTTTTTATTCCTCTAATTTTAAATGTAACTTGTTCTAGTTTGGTGCTAAGAACTTTAAATAAACCTGTTACATTAAGTAGAAGCAAAATAAACAAAACTAAAGTTTTAAAAATGGTTTTTGTACATTTGGTCATATTCTGTTTCTGTTTCGTGCCTTACAATATCAACCTTATTTTATATTCTCTTATGAGAACACAGATATTTGTTAATTGCTCAGCAGTGACAGCAGTAAGGACCATGTACCCAATCACTCTCTGCATTGCTGTTTCAAACTGTTGCTTTGACCCTATCGTTTACTACTTCACGTCGGACACAATTCAGAATTCAATAAAAATGAAAAACTGGTCTGCTAGGAGAAGCGACTCCAGATTCTCTGAAGTTCAAGGCACAGAGAACTTTATTCAACATAACTTACAGACCTTAAAAAATAAGATATTTGACAATGAATCTACAATATAAGCTGCCTGAAATAAAACCACTGGGACTCCACTGGGACAGAACTTCCAAGTTCCTTCAACTGTGAAAAGTGTTTTTTTGGACAACTATTTCTCCACGTCTGAAAGAAAATAAACACATGGAAATTCTAAAGTTTTTTAGTATAAAAAAATTGTATTCAATGTGTTAGCATTAAAATGTACTCTATTCTTGTATACACTCCATTTTATTTTTCTAAGCCATTTTGATTTGTACTTTACTCTTCATTAAAAACTCCCTTAAAAAGTTGTCCAAAGTCTAAAAGTGACTATGATTTAAATCATGCGGTGACCACCTGTACTGTCTTTGAATTTCTTAGCAATTTTATACTAATGATTTACAAACATTAAAAGTTTTAAGTGTTTAATATTTGTATTCAACATATATCTAATTTCTAGTTCAATGTGAATTGAAACTACTAATCATGTTTCTTAAACTATAATAACATAAATGAGAAAGAGTAATTTGAAATAATAAGAATTTTTGTAGTACTTTTCCAAAAAATAGCTGAAAACATAGTGTTCTGTAGAATAATGACATACTAACACAATTTGAGGATCTTGAGCAGTTACACTTACTGATAATATTTAGGATTTTGTCTTTGTATGCAATTCATAAAAAGCAGATGCTATCTAACTATAGAGTATAGTAGGCTTTAAAATCACTATTTTGATCCATTTTCTGGATATAACTACCCACTTTCAAGATGATAAATGCTACAAAAATTGAGACGGAGGAAACTAACAAAATGTTACTCTGCTAAGTAAACTTTTAAAAAATAAAATCCTACTAAAGGTACATTTTAAAAGTATTTTTATGTCAGAATAAATAACTTCTATTGTAGGTCAGAGAAACACCATAGATAGTGAGATAGTGAAATACAGTACTTGGCACTTAGAAAGTAATCAATATATATACTACTTCTCTTCCCTCTTTTGACCATCTAAAGCCAAATACTGAATAGCTGAAAATATTATTTCAAGTAGGCAAAATGTTACTGTATGTCAAAATAATTTATGAAGTAAGAACACAGTTCCTTACACAAAAAACAGCAAAACCACAGGGCCAAATGACTAAGTACAACTACATTTTCATTTCACTAAACATACAAAAGGTATCGCTTTGAGCTGTATTTAGATATGAAGTATCAACTACACTAAAATGTTTTCATTTTCCAACATACCTTTTTTTTACATTCAAGCAGTTCTCCAAAGTTAACTAAAAAACAATGTTTTTTATTTGACAAAAAAGACATATAATAAAATTCAACATTCAACCTATCTGATTTTTACGTCTTAATTGTTCAAGTCCTCAATACAACTTTGGACAAATACTCTTAAGATTTAAATTTGATTTTTGCTGTTCTCTGGGTGTGGGCTGCAACGATTTCAGACAAGTCATAGTCATCTACATAAGTGAACCCATTTTCAATAAAATAACAATGGGATTTTCTTTAGGGAGCCGTGGCTCCCTTAAATAACCTAAAGCAAAATAAATCCTTAAGAAAAAAAACAAAACTAGTAAAGAAATTAAGCATGGTCCTTTATATCCCAAGAGAAGTATATATGCTGTAGACATGTTTTCTTCAATTGACTGGGAAGTACCTTATATATCACTCTTCAGAAAACAAATACATTTAGCACTCTAAACATACATTTTTGAGCTGAAAAGCAAGTAACAACTTACTGATGTGGAGGAAAGGGGTGGGGAGTTTATAACAGACTTCTCAGAACTTTCCTTGGCTTAAATATCAATGAGCAAGATCTCAAAGCATGGATATTAATTTAAAATACAAGCAAACGAGTCATCAGACAGTTGTTATTACTGTGCTTATTGGAGAAATTTTTGTTGCCCTCTTGTCAACAGGAAGATGAATCAAAAGTTTGTAAGATTCTTCACGAAGTATACATAACAGTTAAATTTCAGTTTTCTCCTCTTTAAAACTTCAAATCCTGGGTAAATCTTACCTTCATGACAGAGAAAGTACTGAAGTCATTTTCCTTTGTTAGCATTACACTTCAAGGTAAATCATATATTCTGAGGGTTTTCTCTTTCCCCTTTCCCCGGAAAATCTATATTAACAGAACTCTGAGGATTTTACTTTGTTAACTTAAAATGACAATAGCTAACCTTTTCTCCCAAAAAACTGTGCCCACTGTTTTTAACATCTTTATAAAAGAGTAGACGATTTAACTAATCTTCCTTTCCACCTTAACTCCCTTCAAAGGAACAGAAGATGAGAAAATTTTTGGGGTGTGGAAAACAGCTTTCCAGCATCGTAATGAGTGGTTCTGAACTTAGAAATGATCTTTTCTAAGAAAATATCAACCAAGTAACTAATTTACCAAAAGAATGTATGAAAATATATGTATTGTACATAATATATCCATAGAAATTTTAAAGAAACTGAAGGCACTCCTTTATCAAGGAGTTTTGACTTTATATTCTACATGCAAAACACTAAAAATAAATCTGAGGTATAAATCTTAATTATAGATATTGGTATTTAAAGAAATTAGTCAACTGAAGATTATAAAATAGAAAATGAAACATCAGCAAACTTCATATCCCAACTGAAAAACATTTAATTTATGAATGGTACATAGCTAGCAAGAGTCAGAAGCGATTGCTTTTTGGTCCTGCAATTTTGGACCCCTGATGAACCAGGTATCTGGTCTTTTGTCAATATATTAAGTTACTATTACCTAGCAGAATCTTTCTACCTCCCAACTATTTTACTACCCAAACTATTTTAGTGCCTGCATGCCAATCCAACTCCAGATGTCACAAATGAGGAAAGATGTGACCTAGTGCTCTTAGTTGTGAATGAATTTTTATATAGAAAATTTTATAAACAGTGCTTACTAGTGGATGAATCTTAAGGTAATCCTAAGGTAAATGTTTTTAAAAAGCTTCTTTGGGCTGGCCGAGAAACCAAATTAATCCATTTAAAACATGATTTCTAAGAAATAAATTTCTAATTAAAAAGGACTAATGTACAAACTTAAGGACACAGAACATATTTAAATCGACCAAAGTATTTAATGAGCAACAATATTATTTAATTAGCAAAATTTTCCAGAGATCAACATATACATAATCCTAAAAATTACTAATTCTCAAATTTCTATTTTGTCTCTTTCTTCACCTTTTTTATCCGATGTCTGCTACCCATTTTCTGACAGTCCACTTTATGAAAGTACAAAGAATATAATTAATCAGGGCAATACATCAAGATAATAAAAGAAAAAAAATTAACTCCAGGCAAACTTCTCTACCAAGTCTTTCCCTTTCCTCCCTCTCTCAAAAAGATTTACTCCAGTAACTTCTTAAAAGGGTACAAAATTATCTCTTTCATCACTTTATGAAAGTGCTGAAAAGCATTGGCAAAAACAGAATCCAAGAGAAGGACCCCAGAAGTAGAGATAAGTCATGAATTTAATAATTAGTTTTCAAACTCAAAAATTGCTTTACTCATATAGGTTCAATAAATTTTTTTTTTTTTTTTTTTTTGGTGAGGAAGATCGTCCCTGAGCTAACATCTGTGCCAATCTTCCTCTATTTTGTATGTGGGATGCCACCATAGCATGACTTGATGAGCAGGGTGCAGGTCCGCGCCCAGGATCCAACCCTGTGAACCCCAGGCAGCTGAAGCAGAGCACACAAACTTAACCACTATGCCAAGGGCCTGGCCCTCAATCAACTAATTTTTAAAAATAATTAAAGTTTAATTAAATATTAAGAATGAGAAACAAATGTTATAGTTATAGTTAATAGCCATAGTGTGAATGTGCTGAGTTCCATTACCTTCCTATCAAAACGGCTTCTGGTAAATTCACAATTTAGAGCTGAAAGAGCCTAGAGATCATCTGACAAAACTACTTTACCTCAGGTTGAGGAAACTGAAGAACTACAAGGCTAAGAAAGTTGCAGAGGGTCATGTAACAAGTTAAGGTAGAGCCAGGACTAAGAACTTGGTTTTTTTGACATGTCTATTTCTTCAATGGTAGCAAGGGGAGTAGCACATGCAAAGGCCCTGTGGGAGAGAAGTTGGTATACTGAAAGGATTAAAACAAAACCAAAGTGGCTGGAGGTGCAGTGCTGAGATCTTTCATGTACTTATAGGCTATGATAAAGCCATGTCAAGATCTAAGGACATGTGGAAAGCCCTGAAGGATTGATTTCAAGTAGAAGGAGAGACATGATCAGATTTGCATTCAAAAAGATTCCTCTAATAACAGGGTAGAGATGCATTTGTCTTCAGCAAAAAGAGAAAAAGAATCACAACAGAGCTATATTTATTCAATTTAAATTTAAAGAGCTGTTCTTATCCCTTATTTTGATTATGTCCCTTCTCTCTTTAATGGCCTTTCTTTTTAGAAATGATGGTGATGATAGACGGGAAGAATAGTTTAATGTCGTTACTTGGCATATTAAGTTAGCAGCCCCTGTGGAAAAATGGGTACGTTCATACACTGCTGGTGGGAATGTAAAATGATATAATCCTTCCGGATGGGAATTTGGCAATATCTAACACACACACACACACAATTTATGCTTTGACCCAGCATTCTCACTTCCAGATATTTACCCTGAGGACACACTTCAATAATATAAAAACACATATGTACAAGGTGCAGGATTATCTGAAATCGCAAAATATTGGAAACAACCTAGATGTGCAAGCATAGAAGACTGGTTGAATAAACTTTAGTACATATACACGATGTAGTACTATGTAGCTATAATAAAGAATGAGAAAGATCTCTATGAACTGAGATGAAGTGATTTCCAGAAAGTATTCTCAAATGAAAAAAGCAAAATATAAAAGAGCACATAGTATGCTCCTTTTTGTGTAAGAAAAAGGTGAAATAAGAAAACACGTATATCTGCTTATTTTTACAAAAAGAAACACAGGAATGATAAACCAAAAAACATGGAACAGGGATGGGGAATGGCATGGAAGGGATATCAAAGGTTATAACACTTAACTGAGTGTAACACTTTGGGAAGCATGTTAACATTGTACATCAGGAATCAGAAAATCTTTTCTTCAAAGGTTAGATAGTAAATATTTTAGGCATGTAGGCTATATTGTCTTATTACAACTTTTCAACTCTGCACTACAGTACAAAAGCAGCCATAGATAATAGATAAATGAATGAGTGTGGCTGTGTTCTAAAAAAACTTTATTTGTAAAATCAGGTGGTTGGCCTGTGGGCTGTATGTGCCACCTTCTGTCCTACACAGTCAAAAAACTAAAGCCAACAAGGATGGGAA